ATAACATAATGCATGACGAGGAAAATGGATATTGGTAGTTAAACATTATCTCTGTGCGCTTCCCTCTTGAGAGTGGCAATTGCATTGCATAGAAATATGTTTTGATGCATTCTTAGCGACAATGATGGAACAATTCCTTGTGTATGCAGCTGTTAATGGGTCGTTCCTTTTATGCGATATTGCCCTGCTTTGGAATATCGAGAAGGGTGAGTCTGTTTTTCGGGTGAAATTGCTCCGCCTCGACAAGAGCTTTTAACCCATCACTCGAGTGCTTATTATTGCAGAAATTTCACATCAAAACTTGAGAATTGCATTCATAGTTGCACAACTGATTCTCTCCTTCCTTCAGAGGCACAAAAAAAAATCTTCCTAAGTGACTGGAGAAAAATTGTGACCATTGTGCATATATTTTTCCCTCATGTTTGCCAAAGTAAACAATAGAGGAGAAAATTTAATGAAAGTTTGATGAGATGTTCCGCGTTCTCTCTTGTATTCCTCATGTATTCTGCCAGTTTGTGTGTTTTTTTTTCGGACATTTTAAAGGCACTTTGCGTGCAAAAGAGCAATAATGAAAGGTGGGCGAGTTGTTGAGGTGCGAATGAGCAAGAAATCCACAAAAGAAGACTCTCTTGTGCGCCTCTGCTGAAGTATCAAAATATAAATAATAATGTTAAAAAAAAATTCGTTCAGCATCGATAATTTTTTTCATCTTCTTCTTCACTATGTCACGCGAAATATAAAAGCAAATCAATAAGGTGATGAGATTATGAAATTTCTTCGAGAATGGAGTAACACTTGTTTGATTGATTAATAGGTGTGGAAAAAAGGTTGTCTGCGGGTGGAATGTTTAAAGTTATTAATCCATTTTGTACATCAATTCCCCCGATGGGTTTCACCTGCGCACTCACGAAGGGAATTTGAGGAGTTTTTCCACACTGAGAATTGAGTAATTATGAGTCTGGCGTGTGCATTCGAAAAAAAGAAGGGCTAACGAGACCGTCAGTCGGAGTTGAAGTTCCCGAAAGGCAATAAGAAAGCGTTTCGGTACGCCACGAAAGACATCATCAAAGGCACGGGAAAAGTTTGCTCAAGAGAACATTGTTGGATATGTCATATAAATCAATGCACATGTTGCATTTCCTCTGATGACCACCGCTTATCGAAGGCCAGTTATCTGCAGAAGGCCTCATATTTGCCTTTTGTAGACACGCCGCCACAAATGGATTATAAATTTGTGGTTCTTTAGTGGCCAACAGGCCGTTTAATGTTTTGCAAACATTTACACAGTGTCCAGAGACGCAGGATAATTTATTTTACTCCCCAAAACTCAGTATAGAAAACGGTCAGTTTGAATGCACTGAAAGGAAGATCCCTTTGATTAGCCACACACAGAAAGAAATGAATCAATATGTGGCATTGAAAAACGTGTCAGAGGAATCGCCTGTGAAAACACTTGAGGACTGTTGGAAATCCTGTCAGGATTTGAACCACACACGCTCACAGAGAGAAATTCCCATTGACAAAAAGACTGAACAATTCATTGGGGCAATTTTTGTCGCAAAATCCACCCTCGTGTCACAGGCTGTTTTGGGATAAAGAGGAGAATAGAAGAAAAAGAGCAAAATTTTGATTGAATTCATCAAAATGCAGGGTGACCTCGGAGGATTTACAGTGGCAGTGAGAGAATAGAGCATTGAGAATGGGTAACAAGCACCATGACATGTCGACACCTCAAAAATATTAATCGCATTACTGAATAATCCAATAACAACAACACATGTCAATCCCATTTTCATTATTTGTATTACAGTGATTTTCTCTTGTTACACTTTTTTTCCACCCCACTTTTCGCTGATGTGCTTTTGGATGGTGCAAAACTTGAGAAAAATTCATTATAGAGAGCCAAGACCAAGGGGGAGATAATACAATCAGAAGTGGTGTACAGATGAGCAGAAGTATACTTATGAAGTGTCCAAAAACTCACAATCTTCTTTCATGCGTGTTGTTTTTACTGATTACTCATTCAGATTCTCTGAATTTCCTTCGATTTTCATACAGAAACAATAATAATAATATTATTCTAGGTTATGTTACGATTCACGGAGGGATTATGTGAATAATTCGTACCCTAGAAAATCAATTCTTATGCTAAAGTTGCCAAGATTGCTAGTCACTGGCAGAATGAGACATTTTCATGCAATAAACACTGCAAATTGTGTTGAAGTCAAACATAACCTCAAAAAGAGTAGATTTTAGACCATTTTCTGCACGATTTTGATTCTGAATCAGCAATTTTGAGTTTAACAGCAACATAAAAGATAATTTTATCATCTAGAAAGCCTCCAATCGGAATCTTTTAAGATTACTTAATGATATTTTTGAGATTATGGTCTAATTCGACGCCGAAAAAAGGCGGTTTTCAGTGGATTTTAACAGAAATATCACACGAATTATTGTTTTTAGAAGTGCTGTACAGATTAAGAGCATATTATCTCCCCCTTGGCTTGGACAAATGGTCAGAAATCCCTTTTTGCTGCTGCGATGTCAACAATTGTGTCACTTTTCGTGACGGGTTTTTCGGCTGTCGAATATATATTGGCAACATGCAAAAGATTGGCTGTCGTGGGATGAAGTTTAGGCTGAGAAGGAGATCAGTGTGTGAAATGTATTGAATATTTCACAAATTGATTTAGTTATTTGGTTAGTGACATCAATATTGGCCAATTTCATGGTAAATTATGCCTGTCTTACGCTTGTTTTCGCACAACAAGAGACGGCAAGAAGGTGGGAGTGAGTGAGAAAAGGTAGCAGATTCTTAGTGAGAACTGATATGATAATTGAAGGGGAAAATTCTTCTGGGCGAACTAATGTAAATAGTAAATGAGAAAATTCAATTATATGTGTTGCGTGTGTCAAAGAAACGCTTCTGTGAGTCAGTATAATACAACAATTGAAAGGAATTTCTGTGCATAAATATGAAAATAACCTTCGCCGCTAGCTCCTCTTGGCGCGTTGAAATTGAAGATGGTTAGGAGAAAAAAAGTGTATACACAGGCAAATAATATATTGTTGAATTGAAAGAAGACAGAAGGCATGGAGAGAGCCAACGATATGGGAGACGTTTGTTTCTTTTCAAGCTCTTAAAACACTCGTCTGCAGAAATAACTTTTAATTGCGTCAATTTGTTAGCAAGATTGTTTGTTTGTATCTCTCGTTTTATTCATTAAGTGGCCTTTTTTTGCAATCCTCAAACTGGTGTAAATTAATAATTTATTCACCATGAGAGGAGATTGACGAAGAAATACCTCAATATTGAAATTATATAAATTCCTTGTGTGTCCCGCATGACTTTTCTTAATGGATGTAATGCGACGCGTAGTGGCAAAAAGTGCCAATTGAATTGGCGCGATGCATAAAGTGATACCGCGAACATGGTCACTTCCTTCGACGGAGTGTTGCACAGATAATATGCATTTTCTCTGCTGGGTCGGAAGTGAATTTCTGCACTAATCCGGAAAGATTGTGGGAAAAAGTGACCATCGTGCGTCTGCGGCAGATTGCTTGCTGAGGTCGTGAAAAAAAGGTGTGTGTAGAAGCAAATGTGTGTCAGTTGCAAACTCATAATCAGCTTAAGGTGACTGACAAATTTGAGAAAAAGGTTAACACCTTGTTTCTATTGCCCGGGACTAGTTGATTAAAGGTATTCGGGTCGACGGGAAAGCCAGTGGCCTCTGACGTAAAGCAACTTCATCTCTCTCTCGCCTAATCCATTCTGGCACTTCCTAAACTAACATCGCAGCCTGAGGATAAAAATGTGCACAAAAAGACTGTCTGTGGAGGATGAAAATACAGCCCTCTTTTGGCTAATACACATTCTTGTTCCCACAAAACTGCGCAACTTTCCTGGGTAATCTGATTATGTGTGACAGCATGAATTTTACACTCTGCTGACCGGAATGAAGGGACAAAAGATGTCCAGAGATCAGAACATTTTTATTAATTCAGAGAATTTGACTAATATATCGATAATGCGATTGGATTGGTGTTGTGTTTCTCCCGCGTGTTAATTCACCTCTCAGTCGATCAGTGAGCGCGAATAGCCCATGAAATTGATGACGATCAAACGACATTGCCGACTCTCGGTTGAAAATTGACACCCAAAGGACACTTGACAAACATCCCTCGAGTCCTTGGGATCTTCACACGTTGTCAGCGGTTTGTACAGCTGTGCAGTGACTGAAGAGCATCTCTTCTTGCCGGTAAATTTCTACAGGACAAACACTGATCGGTCGAATGTGAAAGCTTTCCTTTGATATGCAGAGCAAAAAAATGCGACCCTTTTCAAATACACACAATTTCAGGTGATGCCGTGAAATTGAGCAAACTTTGAGGAGAAAAGTACTCGTGTTTCTGCAGCTATTGAGCCGCATGTGTGAACACACATTCAAGTGCGACTCGTTATCAGACGGCACGCAGAACAATTATACAAATTGCTGGGGAGTTCATCTCCCCCTGAACCCCCTCAATGCCCCGCTGGCGTCCTGGTGCGAATGTCGATAAGAAAATTGACACGCTGCGATAATTGCCAGAAACACTATTCGGCACTTTGATGGCAATCGGATTGTTTACTCAAAAGTTGTGTGTCAATTGTGCTGTTCGCCAGCGCAATAGAACACACATTATTTAGTTGCGACGATTGGTAACAAATGTAATTACATTATTAGGCATTGAACAATGTCAATTTGTGGCTGAGGCAACAGGAAAATCATGTTATTGATGATCTAAAAATACATATATCGCCTCTTTTCTGCAAATAACACACGCTGGCAGTGTTCACTTTCTGTGGTTTCATGATAAAGAGTATCCAGAGAGTGAGTGAGAAGCGTTGCGCAAGCGGTTAACGCAATTTGGGTAATTGAGGAGCCTTGGCTGAGTTGGCTGAAGATAGATCGAATGTCAGGGAAAACTGGGAAACTCAATGGAAATTCTTGTCTTTGCAGAACGCCGTTTCCTCCGCTCCGCCATCACCACCCGCCGCCCCCGTCGCCATGGCCGTCACCTCGACCGTCCCGCCGGGCGCCCGAAGTTCCTCGCCGTGCTCAGCGGCCTCCGGACCGCCCACGTCGCGGTGCTGCGACACAGGACGACCCATCTTCAGCGACCCCATCACGGGTCAGACCATCTGCTCCTGCCAGTACGACCTGATGGGCTACCAGCGCCTCCCGGGGATGCCCGCCGGCGTGCCCTTCTCCGCCGTGTACGGCAACACGTACCCCGAGACCTTCCCCGCCTACCTGTCCACCCTGGGAGCGGACCAGGCGCCGTTCTACTCAACGCCGGTGAGTCTCTCTCTTTCTCCTCAGCATTCCAGCGACACTGTGTCGAACAGAGAAACACCTCCGGAGTGCTTAACACTTGACCGAGAGTTGGGAACACGGAGTGTCGCTGTTTTACACACCCTCATGTCATTCCACTCAATGCTCTGCGGATTTCCAACTTCTCTGCAACATATTCCAGTGGCTTGTCTCATGGTTGCTTCCTTGTTCTCCTCGGTGGCTCTTGATTAAAAAGGCGCCACCGAGAATGGGGGACGGAGCTTTGCCACTTGAGCTTTCGTGTCACCACCAAAAGTGAGAGTTGTGCCGAGAATTCACTGATGCCGTCTTCACTTCTGCACTGTTAGAAATGGTAGTGAGAGAGCCTAATCTCTTGGTAAAGCTCGATGGAAGTGAGCAAATCGTCCAGAGATGCTTATTTTACTGAGAAATTGTCCCAATTCTTTAGATTTCCTTCGATTTCACACAGAAACAGTCAAAATAATATTTTTGTAGGTTATGTAACGAATCATAGACAGATTTAGTGAATAATTCGCATTCTAACACATCAATTCTTAAGCTGAAGTCGCCAAGATTCCAACTCATTGGCAGAATTAAGCATTTGCATGCAATAAACATTAATATTCTGAGCCTTTGATGAAACATAACCTCAAAAACATTGATTTTTACTTGGAAAATGTTCATTTGGATAACTTTCTGTACGATTTTGACTCTGAATCAGCAATTTTAAGATGATTTGTGAACTATACAGCGTTCAAAAGGAGTCTTTTCAGATCTCTTAGTGATATTTTTGAGGTTATGGTCGGAAAAGTCGCTCAAAAGCTCGTTTTTCGCTATAAAATTCATTATAATAATAAGTGTGGAAATTGTCCTCTTTGGCCAAATTTTGTATGCATTTTAACCAATTTAACCGAGTGACGCTCGTCGGTTCCTCAAAGTGCAGCCAGAACGAATCTCCTGCAAGGACAATGCTGTATCGTGTCGCATGGAACTTTTACCAGCCACCCAAGTGGAAGTGTGTGAGCTGATGAGGGGCGGCGGGGGTGTGGGGTGATGGCCAAGTTTCTGGTTGAAGTGCAAAAGCTCAACATACCACAGGGGATGTTAAACATTGAGAGAAGCGTGGAAATAATGTGTGTTGAACATATGAGTGACTGCGACGGGGAGTTGAAAGTATTCACAGTGAGAGTGGCGAAAAGCTCCCCGAGGGAAATTGTCGTGCGAGGGTGGCAAATTTGTCGAGGCTGAGGGGGATACAAAACCAAATCATTGCTACAATGTGGATCTCCATCTCGGGAGGGTGTGTGTGTGTGTGTGAACACCTCAGCGCTTCACAATTTTCCCAGAGATTTGAGGGGGTTTGGGCGCCCAGGTTCTGGTTGCCTGGTGGCATGTCGACTGCGGGAATATAAATACACATACATCCATTGAGTTACAAGCTTGAGTGAGGAGTCAGTTGCCGGGATACATCCACGGGGAGCACATGTCGAACTTCTATTGGGGAGGATCATTTTTCCCGAACGCACATTTGCTCATACATTGTTGGGGATTCGGTGTGCGACATGCTCCCCAATTGACATATGCATGAGATTCAAATTCAAAGTCAGCCAATTCCCTTTTTCGCATCGGCAATTCTGTTGAATGTGTGATTTGATTTAATCACACACGCTCCAAATTCTATTCCCTCCGCCAAAAAGCCGCACTTCATTCAATTTTCATTGATAGGATTCCCGCAGAAAAGAGGGAAATTGCGTTACATTTTCATGTGATTGTCGCAACCCCTTCGCGCGCATCAACCGACGGCCACAGAAACTCCTCTTGAGTCTCCACAATTAACGAATTTTGTGACTATTGAAGGTGATTTTAACAGATATAGAGCTCTAAATTGTCTGCATTTCAATCTAAATAAGATCAGCCCGTAAGATTTATATCTCTCCCAGAGCTTGAAGAGATCTAGAAAAGCCATCATTGGCTGGAGTGAATAAATTACGCGGTAAGAAATTCCCTGGGCGGCGCACGTAATAAAAGCACTCACGGGCCAAAGGTGGCCTCATTGAGAACAGGCGAGAGAGACTGTTAATTCGGGTGTGGTCACCCCAAATAGATAAATTCTCGCCCCTGAGGCCATCGGGAAGACGATTGTAAATTACAGATTATCGTCTTGTGAGACACGTATCGTAACATCCCATTTTGAGAGAGGGTGTGAAGGAAAATATTTGTGTGGTTATTGTTATGGAAAACACTCTACTCTCTTCTCACACTATGTTCGAAAGAGATTCCAATTGATCTTAATAGATTTATCAAATTAACTCAAATTTACGATCCAACCATTATTGCCATTATTAGAGAGAATTTCTCTTTCAAAATTTCGTTTCGCCTTTTAGCCTTCATTTCCCATTGGATTCTCCGTGAAGCTGTTCACTTTTATTGTACCACTCTCGATGTTGGAGATGGGATTAATAAATATCTTTTTAGATCAATTTCCTTGCATGTCGCCGATGGTGGGCTTCGCTTTTTTTGTGCTACAATTAAGGAGAATTAAATGTAGCCTTTTCTCCCTCTAAATTGGCTGTCAGTAAATTTTGAGAGCTTTTACCATAAATTTTAACCACACGGGAAAAAGGTGTGTTTCGGCCAAACTAACGAAATGCGCTGAAGTGGCGTTAAAATACAAGGAAAATGCGCACAGTGGGAAATTTCAAATGGAGAATCTTGGCGCCAAAGTGCGAAGATTTCTGTAAGAAAGAAGTGCAACACATTGAAATGATAATGCGAAACATTCGCATAGAGAGAATACACTCGTAAGACAAACATGCTATCGACGAGTGACATACATAAGACATAAATATTTTCCACCTTTTTTGCAATCTCTCCCAACCATCTTGGTGTGTTAGAGATTATTTGTGGGGGAAAAGAGACTTTCCATTTGCAGAATTTTTGCATATAGAAGACAATTTATTGCACATATATGAAACACCTCAAGTGTACTCTGTGTTATTAGATTAAAAGATGCGATATGAGAGATACATAACTTGTAGATAAAAGCGTCACTTCTTGTCCCTCATGCGATTGCTCAAGCATTCGCGGATATTGTTAACGAGCGAGGACACTTTGCACAATGAAAATTCGGTGCAAAGTAAGCAGAAAATGTGTGAAAAATCGTGTGTTGGTGAATTTCGAATGCTTGAAATATAGAAATTAGAATATTTTTTGAGAAAAAATGTATTTTGTGGGTAGAAAAAGGAATTTCCGACTACAGATTTTCATCATAATTATTAAAGATTCTTCTTATGTGCCTAAATTAGAAGTTTTCTCTGTTTCACACTCGTTTTTATCGTAAAACCTTGCGTAAAATCGTAAATATCCGATTAAAGATCAAGTAGTTAAGCAATGTTGTCTATTAATTTGTGTTTGAAAGCTTTTCAGCTGATAAAATCGCTTTTAACTCTTTCAAAATTGTGCACAATTATTTTATAAATAAATTTTGAAGATACTTTTGCATTCTTAATGCATTCTAATTGGCAGAGGGTTAACATGAGAATCTCATGTTCTGCTCATCGTGTGCAGCTTGTCAGGATATTCTGTCTCTCTCTCATTGGTTGGCAGTGGAAGAAAATTGATTACAATATCCAATTAATTGACTCAATTTGGTATTCACATCTTGAATATCCCAACAGCTTTTGATATCTCCATATGGTGGTTTTATTTCATTACTCATCGCCGATACCACGCATTTCATTAAAAGATTTTCATAAAATATATCGCATACAATGTTGAAATTGGTAGCTATATTACTCGTGTCCCTCTCACTCCGTCGATGTCCTCAACTACAGTCGCAGCGAATGGCCATATTGGCTCTCAAACACACTTAAGCAACTTCTGCGCGACTGTATTATTCAGCATTTATTTATTTTTCCATAAATTCAACACAATAAAATACACTACCTGACACTCGTTGCTGATAAGAGGGAGTCGTTGTTGGCTTGTTGTATGAGATTGTAAAATAGTGATTTTATATTTTGTTAAATTTGCACTTCTCTGATTAAGCGTCTGACAATGAATGTGGCTGATGATGTTGAAAGACAGCTCAGAGTCGGATTTGGAAGGTAGTTTCGCGCTCAATTTTCAACTAATTGGCTAATTCTTATCGACAGAGAGAAGAATTTACTGCTTCGGTATTTCTAGTGTGTGTTTTTTTCGGTTTGTCTTGTGGCCCTGCTTATTCAAATAAAGACAACCCAGAAAAGCGCGCGTGTTGCGAATCAAGGAGGAGATAATATGGCTAAACTTGGTGTACATCACTTCCTGCGACTTCCAAAACTTCAGAAGTGCTTATAACATGCAATTTCCTTATATTTCTGTTCCTTTTCCGAGCTTTATAGATTTTTCCAACCCCAAAAAAGTATCATAACCTCAAATTTAGGGGTATTTGACCGTAAAATGACGCCATTTTTACTTGTGTGCTTCTCAAAACTTACGGAGAAACAGATATTTTTGATGTGATTCAATCCTCAATCACTGCTTTGGATGTTCTTTGGAACATAACCTAAAAAATCCTAGAAAATCAATCAAACTGATCTTGAAATAGACAATTTTATGTCCTATAACAATATTAAGGAGGTTATGATTAATCTTAGCATGATTAACAAGATCAGGTTGTAAGAATTTATTGATTTTGAAGGTTATTTAGTGGCAAAGTTGGTCTTAAATTTACAACATAACCTAGAAAAATGTAAAAAGCTTTTTTACATCAATTATTGCGTAATTTCCCTTTAAAAGAGACTTTTGAAGGCACTATATTGAAAATATTGAGACACTTCCACTGTCAAATACTTCTTATTACGTTGTACACCACTTCTGATCATAATATCTCCCCCTTGTTGGAGACACACAACTTCCTCGGCGGTGTCAAAAATTGTGTGCTTTTCTCAACACTCTGAGCGCAGAATTTCTTGCATTTCTGATCACACACTTTCCTCGCTTCTCCGTTGGGTCCATTGAAGAAAAAAGACAAGGAGATAAGAAGTGTCTCTCCTATAATATTTTCCATTAACAAGAAACTGTGACGATAGGCAGTATAAGCGATAGCCGCGTCGCTCCTTCTCCCTCCATCGCTCATTAACATGCAGCTTTTGATATTTGACAATGTAAATAGCATACAAAGAGGGAGGAGGGGAGGAGGGGAAGAGTGGAAAAAGTCCGGCGAACCATGTGGCAGAGGCGCGTACTATCGGGGAAATAAATGTTAACTTGTAATGAAATTTGTTATTCGGCTTGGAAATTGATTTCCATAAGTCAGCGTTCATTGAAATAAATCACAAACATTCGCCTCAGACATACCCAACATTACGATAACACACTGTTTGACCCCTTGACACTTGTCTCACAGTTCTTTCACTCAATTCTCCCCGTTTCGGGGCCTTTTTTCCGCGGCCAACAGACACCAAGAGGACGGAGAAAATTTATGAAGATTATTTTAAATTACATCGAAAATTACATGGGTGGAACATTTTATTGAATTCGAGACGCTCTAGGAAAAAGAAATGTCTTCAAGTTTGAATGATTCATGTGATAAACTGTCGAGATTTGTGTTCAAACTCTGCGGCTGTTTGCTTTGCCGCTCTTTCTTGAAATTCAATAAGAATTTGAATGATTTTTTTTTCTCTATAGTATTTTGTACACTCTGAATTTGTGATTATTCTGGAAATTAAATTGACTGGGGAAGAGTTTTGTAGCATTTTTGACACTTGTTTGTTTGCTCTTTTTCAGGCTGGAGCCTTGGAACTAAAGGAAAATATTGCAGCTGGAGGACCTTCTTGGCCATATCCAGTCTATCATTCCTACGAAGCGGCTTTCGCCGGATACCCCTTCAATGGGTGAGTTTTCTCCCACAATTTTCCCTTTGGATTTTTTGAGGAGAAATGCGACTAAACATGCGACTTCTCAAGAGATAGAAAGTGTCTCCGAAAATGCGTGTATTTCGGGAAGTTATTTCTGTACCCAAAATGTTTTTTTTTTTCCTTCCTAAACTCCAACTTGGATAAATGTGAGACAAGAGATGGAAAGAGAGGAAAAAAATGATGAGAAATTATTGTTGAAAATGTTCTTTTAATTGCGGAAACATTTGTGTGTGAAAATAACAAATTGGTGTGGATTGATTTGGGTTTTCAACTCATCATATTACTCAGGAGAGTGTCTCCTTTTTTCCTCTCTCACTCTCATTCGTCAGTTTTCCCTATTGAGAGACTGGCTATTCGGGTGCGTATTTTCTTACCATGGCGCGCATAGTGTTCATGCGATAATAACATATCGATCCTCGGGGCGCGCGAGCGTTGGCAAGAGCGAGAGAGGAAAAAGGCATTGAACATGAATTTATGTCACCAATGACTCACTTGGAAGACTCTCATGGCAATTCATGAGACGAATAATATTTTATTGTTGGGCGATGGAGAAAAGTTGCAGGATGTACGATAAAATCTGTCACGTCTGTTTGTAATAAACGAAATGATTTCTTTTGTATATGATAAATAATACAATCTACACGACACACAAACACACAGGAGGTGATGAGAAATCGGGGGATTCGACAAGACGAATGACTCTGGAGAATATAAAATCATTTTAATTATTTCCAAATTTTCATATATAAAACCAATTCCGTGATTTGACTGTCTATTTAGCCTCTGAGGCTCATCGAAATTGGCGAAAAGAAATTGCCAAAGTTGATTGCCTTATTGATTGGCAAATGAAGGGGCGAATAGCTGCTCGTGCGTCTCTTCTCAGCACTTCACCGAGGATTTGTTCACCCCTTGGACAAGAAGTGTTTAAAGTGCATCGCATTACCGACTCTGCATTCCTTATTATTAGCACTACTCCGTGTGAATCACTAATCAATTCCTTGTAATTGTCATACACAGTGGACAAAAGTGAACAACTCGTCACTATTCACGACCATCCGCTCGCGACTATGCCCAAAAATTGATCCCAAAACAAGACGTTATTGATTTGCGCAATGGTCAGACAAGGTGTGTGGAGTCATGATTAGAAATCACACTTGAAAACGGAACCCCCACAATAAAGAATTATTGTTGCTTTTGCGTGTCAACATTGATTTTTGCTGGCAAGTTGATGTGACCGGAAATATCGTCCCATAAGTGGCTTCATGCGCGAATACTTGTGCGACGTGTCTCGGGTGGCTTTCCCGAGAATCCTCCACGGCACGTAGCTCGTGTTTGACTCGATACTAAAATGCCAACAGCCCGCCGAATTTATCATTAGGCTGCGGCGCGCAAAGATGATGCAATATAGCGTGCGATAGGCGCGCAAGAAAAGGTGGAAATTGAAATCACTTTTTTTCTTTCTTTCTATGTGTGTCCATTCACTCTCCATGGGAGATTCGCTGAAAAATGATCTCATTAAAATTCGGAAGCTCCCAAATTACCATTTAGGAGATGACTATCTAGGCATGCTGGCAAAAGTGTACAATTTCGCAAGAGATAATCGCATTTTGTCATAATTTACGTTGGAAATTAATTTTTGCCTAGCAAAGTTTTTTTTCTTTTCTTTTCACTCGCTAATTAATAAATTTTGCAAAATAATGCATGCAAAATTATCTAAGTTTGCAGATTATAAAGATTCGCCACACAAAATGGGAAATGAATAGAGTGACGTTTGCTTTATAAATTAAGAGTTTTATGGTGAATTTAAATCATTACAATGTCATGTAATAAAGGGACAAAGAGGGTCAATTGGGACAGGTTTATTGTGTTACTTAATTTGTACTAATTAACGAATGAATCGGAAACTATGAACAGTCGATTTTTCATTGCTTTTGCCTTCAAAAATCTTCATGTTTTGCAGCGTTAACTATGAAAAGGCGACTATTCATGATTAAAACTATACATTTTTCCTAAGAAAATTGCCCTAAATTGCAGTCATCCGCATAAAATGTCTCTAGACTTTGTATTGATTTAATATTTGTTTTGTTTTCTAATGTTTTCTTACGAGAACTTTGAAGAAAAGTTCATTAAAGGCATGAAAAGTTGGTTCTTAAGACGCTGTTTGGATTTAAAAGACTATAAAAATCGACTCTAGAAAGCAATATTTTCAGTTTTTCTATTGATAAACTGAAAAATTTACAAGATAATTTTCTAAAGCTTTTTAATGAAACCATTAGAATGTGTTTAAGATGAATTTGGGAAATTTTGAATCGATATTAATGCTAAATTTTACAATTTGCTCTCCTGAAAAATGGCGATTTTCTCTTTCTATAGTTTTCGATTCAAAAATCTCGAAAAAAATATTTTTAAATTTTTTTTCACCTGTCCAAAAATGCCCCATTTTTCTGTAGAATGCAAAAATATTATCATCACGTGCGTGCAGTTAAAAAGTCTCAGTGCAGAGGTTCAATTTCAATGTGAATAGTGATGTAAATGGATGTGTATTAATTCAGTTAGCCTTAAAATCAATTAGACGCGATTTAAAATTGCTTCTGAAGACATTTGTTAGTATGTAAATTAAATAGTTGAGCATTTTGTATTCACATTGGCCGTGCAGGTGTGATGTTATAGCTATTTAATAATGACACACATTGTTGTATGGTGTGTAAGTTAAAATGGGGAGACATTTATATTTCTCCGCGTCTGTACATTTGGTTGCTTATTAAAGTGACTCGGAGCGTGAGGTTGTCTCTCTCGCTTGATTTATTAATCACTCATCTACTTATAGGAAGAGAGCGCGGAGGAAAAAATATATTACACACCTTTTATACTTTTAACGCCTCTTTATGCCTATGGAAATGCTTTTGGTAGCTGCGCGATGTGTTAGCTTTTGTCCATGAGAGGCGCGCTTTTTTATCACAAATATTCCATGTCTTGTGGCGCATTTTTAAAACATGAACCAACACACATTTTCCCCTGATAATCGATTTTGGTGGTAATTTATTTGAATAAATTTCGCCTCTATTTCTCGATATTTGAATTTTTTTTCACACTGGGAATTTCGTGCTGTGTGTGAGGGAGTGAATGGCCAAACTTGAAAGACACACAAATTCACGTCACAAACGATCCGTCTTCTTACACTCTCTTCTCTCACTCCTCAAAAGTGGAAGATTGACAGAAATGATTATGGCATTACATTTTATTTTTCCATCCCAACATATACAGAAAGTTCTGTCTTTGTTTCTCTCTCTCCCGATGGACAAGTTGACGATTTTCACTCTAATGAGCAGCAGAAACACCGCAGCTGAAAAAGCTCGAGTTCTTCTTTTTCTTTCCCCCCGCCATAGAGCAGTTGCGCGCATAGAAAAAGAATATATTTTCAATTGTGCAACTTTGCGATAAATGTTGATTTTATCAAGTATGATGCTTTTAGCGAAATATCCTCTGGCAAATGAATGGATTTCCATAGAATAATTGAGTGTCTGCTCAGACTATCTCGCACTTAATTGAAATTTATTACCCAATATTGTGCTAATATCGGCAAATTTATTAATTTTTATTGCGCAAGAATTGTTATTAATTAGACTCTGAGACATTATACACATGATATTGATGTTGTGAGGCGACAAATAAGCTGACTGATGACATTCTTATGATGAAAACCACCTGCTTTATATGGTCTCAACTTTGACTCTCACTCTCTCGATGAGTTACTCAAGACACTGATCGCTGATGGGGTCTGTAATATTCCTATGGGAACCGCGAGCAGTTCTGTGTATGACTTTAAATTAACACAACATTGACAAAAGGAGAAAACGAGCGGAGGCAAAAAGTGCAACTCTGAGCGAATGAGAGGAAATAGAGTGCTGGAAAAGAAGCGGAATATGAGACATCACCGGAGATTTTCCGGTGATAAAACACATATTACATTAATTACAATTTTAACGCAACATAAAATCCACTTGGTCGTGTTGCGAAAGAAGAATCTTTGAGTGCGTCAAGTGAAATATCCGAGAGTATTTTTTGAAAATCTCCTACCGTTAGACCAGAGACAAAGTCCGCGGCTTGAATTCCACCCCAGCCGAGCACTTTCTTCACGCTCTCTTAACTCTGGCCAACCGGCGAGAAGTGTAGCTCATAATTCTTGGCCACTGTGCGGGCGAGAGAGGAGGAATTTGAGTGAATTAATAGTTTTTGAACTGTGGCGTCTGCGAGTATCAACAATTATGGAGAGGAGAAAGAGGAGGAAAATGGTCAAATAAATTAATACAAGACACGAAAGTTCATTGAATGTCGAGCATTGACCATCGCGCAAACCACTCCTTGTGGACTCTCTGAACGCGGACGAGGAGAGGCAGAAGCGCCACACAACTTCTTGCACACACAATTGCGCCATGGAAGATGTGGAGCTGTTATCGGCCGGAGTGCCGTGTCGATTGGCCCGCGGGAATGGGCAAGAATGTGTGAGAGATTAAAAGCTCCAGCGGCGAGTGGATTAGGAGGCGAATGGCTGCAACATGCGCAAAGTCCCCCTCTTTTTCGGGCTCCAACTGTCCGCTGTTCCGATTGCGAGGATTATGTTGCGACACACAACATCATCCCCAGTGTTGCTTGTACAACATCCGAACGACAGCCCGCCGGCATTATTGTCCATCTCCATCGCCCGGGAAGCTCACGTGAGCAGACGTGAGCGAGAGAGAGAGAGCGAGACCTTTCGGCTGTCCAAACTTGTGCATGTTTCGCTGCTCATTCAATTGAAAAATTCAGTATGGCGTTGCGTTGAACGGTCATCGTGGGCTTTTTCTCGTGTCTCAACCCCTGGCCGAGAGCCGACAAAGGCCTTCCTTCGGCCACTTTGTCACTGCCCGCGGATCTCTGGGTCACAAATTAGACTCGCCTAGCGTACAAATCTTCAACAAACTGTACCCAAAATTAGCTTAGGACACCTGGAGTGCCAAAAATTCGATATTTCTTTCATTCTCTGAGACTACTTTGCTCTAAATCCTTATTTTAACCTCATTTAATCGTGAGTTTGGAACGTCTAGAAGACATTTACATCAAAGGGCGTCTTGATTTGGACTTGTGAACTTACTTTTTGTATGTTTTTAGCTACCGTTTAACGCCTTTGTTCCATTTCTTCCGCACAACTGCGGCTCAAATCCTGTTCACAGGCTTTTTCTAAAGCATAAAAACATGAACTGTGAACATTACAGCATTTTGCTCCTTATAAAGTATGATTTTGAGTCAATTTCTTATCATAATGTCCGGAAAATGAGTAATTTCTTACTGATGTATGATTAAAAAAAGGATTCTAATAACATTTACATATTCTCTAGCATTGAAACTTTCCATAATAGCGATTTTGCACCTTCCTGAACATCTGAAAAACAGATCTTGGAACGAATTGAAGCTGTTGATTAATTTATTCACTAATATAATTTTTTTCTGAGAACCCTTTTCGCCACTGTGAACGTGAACGTAAACGTCAGTGCTGTATTGTGCTTTGTGGTGAGGTTATAGAAAATTTATGGAGCTGGCAAAAGTTTTCACAAAATATCCTGTACGAATTATAGCGCTTGAATATTGCATTAGTAACAGCTCTTTCATTTCACAGACTTGTACTCTCCATGGCATAAAAGCTCAGGTGAAATGAACGTACAATATAGTCGTGATGGAAATGCACATGTGTGGCGTTTCGGAGGGGGTTGGAAAAAATCAATCGTTGTAGTGTCTAGTAAATGTCCAAATAAATCCCCCATTGTGAGTTGTGGTGTGCAGAGGCACCGAAAAAATCACCCTAAAACACGATAGAGAGAGAGCTTTCAGACGCTTCAATTGAATTTCAGTTTCCCGCCCCCGCCCTTTTTCACCATGCGGGGAAACTTTTCGCCACCACGTCATCCCGCGTGTATGAGATGTTGACGAGACAGTGAAAGCGTCAGTTGCTCACTTCCAACCCTCCCCGAAATCAGGGACTTTTCACGCGAAAATCGCGCCAGGGATTTCTGGGCGACAATGAACTCCCGGGCGTTTGACACAATCCCATGGCAAAAAGAGAGGGACAAGTGAGTGAATTATAAATCCGACGTCCAATTAGATAACGAGCTTCACCTGCTGTTTCGCTGATTTTTTCCACAACTTCTCCACCGCCACAATCTCTCGCCTACCCTCGAAAAAAAAACACCCACCCCTTCGCCGGGTGACATCGTCACGAAATCTCCTATTTCTGTCCCCTGTTGCCGCGTTTTTTGCCCCCATGACGCCCCCTTTTGGCCACTTCACCTCACCATTTGCGTATAAATATGTAATACACGAAGTGATTAAGGGGAAACAGAGGACTTTCACCAATTTCCACCGAATGAATGATTGCAGATGTAGATTAGCGACGTAGAACAATGGAAACTAGCTGTGGAAAGCTTAAAAAGTTCAACTAACTGAGGGGATATTAGTTCTTTTAATGGACATTCTCACTCATTTGGGTGAGAGAGTGTAATAAAATCCCAGATCCACCATCGCTTCAGCACTGTGCATTGTGCTTCTATTTGACCTTACAAGAGCTGTGTGTACTTTTTTAAAGCTGTTCTGAAAATGAATTCGAAACTCTATTAATAGAGGCCAATATTCAATAGAATATTACAGTGGATTTCATTTGTGGATGGAAACGCGTGATGAAAAGGAATTGTATAGCAAAATTAGGGAATGATTTCGTACAATTTTGCACCGATTTCGAACAATTAGCCAAATTGTTCCGCGAAATACCCTGAAATATTTAATAGTCAAGCACTCTGGGCCAATATTGGCTCCTCCTCTCAGTCCATTCATGTGCGGCGAAAAGCTCTGCGGCCTGATATCTCACCGCAGAGTGGACTTTTTGCAGGTACAGTGGCGAAAATATCGGCGAGAGTGGAGAGGAGAGGGTGCATTAAGGGTGGCACAGAGGCCAGCAATCGTGCAAGTGTGTGTCACCCCTGAAAAATATGTGGCCAAAGTCACCATCTGCTTCTCCATTAAATTGTGCAAGTTGTGTGAAGCTAATGGGGATGAAGCTGAGAGGAACACGCTTCCCTCCGGCGCCTCGGCGCTGAGTCGGAGGTGTAGTGCAGTGTGTTATTTTGTGTTATAACGCGCCGTATGATTTGGTTATATGGAAGTTCACTCGAACGGATTAATCGTCGTCATGGTGACTAAAGCAAGCCCTTGGCGGAGGAGCGAGTTAAGCACCTCGTTCAGCAACACTCGCAAACGCGATCACGTCTGCATCAGTGAACTCGCGCAAAATTTATCAAAATCATCCAGTTTCTCTCCCCCCTGCGCGCCAATAGAGGGGAACAGCCGGGGAATGGAGCGTTTTGTCACGACAGTGGGAGGCGTCAGAGTGAGAAAACAAGTGCGTGATCTTGTGAGATGTTGGGCGGATAGAAGGGGCGCCATAATTTATCGGGCGAAGAAGATCAGCGCAAAGGAGGGAGAAAAACTTTGACCTCTTCTTCTGTCAGACGGGAGCTTTTGCCTGCCAAAGCTCACCTCAAAGGGGGAGATAGTACAGTCAGAAGTGGTGTACAACTGAGCAGAAGTACTTGAGGAGTAAAAATTCTTCTTTTACTGACTAATCATTCAGATTCTCTGAAATTCCTTCGATTTTCACACAAAAACAAACGAAACAATATTTTTCTAGGTTATATAACGAACCAAGAACAGATTTAGTGAATAATTCGCATTATCCTTGGCTGAATTATGCATTTGCAAGCAATTAACAGTGCTTTTTTGGTCTTTTAATGCCAAGAAACACTGCAAATTGTGCTAAGACTGAACATAACCTCAAAAATAGTCAGTTGAACTTAGAAAATATGCATTTAAACAACTTTCTGGACAATTTCGACGCAGAATCAGCAATTTTAAGTTGATTGTCAAATCGTAAGAGATGATTTTGTGATCTAGAAACCTTCCGAACGGAATTTTGAACATCTCTTGGTGATATTTTGAGGTTATGGTCGAAAAAGATGTCCAAAAACAGCAGTTTTTAGTCGATTTTTATAGAAATATCGAATAGAATCTTTCAAGATTCATGATAATTTGTGAATTAATGTGGCAATAGACTGGAAATTTCATGTTCTGGAAGTGTTTGGAAGTGTTTTACAGATTTAAGGCATATTATCTCCCCCTTGGCTCACCCTAGAGAGAGAGAGAGAGAGAGAGAGAGACATTATGTACAATCCCTATATACCGTTTGTTATCTACAACACAGTGAAACGGCGGAGCAAAAGAGAAACTGAGGAAAATTCAATTCCTATCATGACCTGTTCTCGTGATATTGTTAAACTTTCCTACATTGAACTTTTCTCATATCGCTCTGCGCCTCACATTCAATCCTAGATAGGAGACAATTGCACCCCTTTTTTTGCTCCACATCATCCCTTATCTTGTGAGTGAATTTATTGGTGATTTTTCCAGCTACGGCGTGGACCTCAATGGCGCCCGCCGGAAGAATGCAACGAGAGAGACCACGAGCACCCTCAAGGCGTGGCTCAATGAGCACAAGAAGAACCCCTACCCCACCAAGGGCGAGAAGATCATGCTGGCGATCATCACGAAGATGACCCTCACGCAGGTGTCGACGTGGTTCGCCAACGCGCGGCGGCGGCTGAAGAAGGAGAACAAGATGACGTGGGAGCCGCGGAATCGCGTCGATGACGACGATGCCAATGTCGATGATGACGACAGGAAGAGTACCGATGGGAAAGACTTATTAGGTGAGTCGAATTGCCACTGTGTTCAATTAGGGACTCAATTTCGCACGAATGCACGCGTTTTAATGTCTTCATTCATATCTATAACATCCATTTTACAATAATGTGCATTAAAAATTATGTTTTTTCATATCGTAAAACTTAAAAGTGTTTCGTGTTTAGGAAGCTAACATATGTTTTAGCGTTCTAATAAATCTTAGGAGTTGAGCGCCAACAATTACACCAGTTTTAATAATTTACTCAAGATAACCTGGGCTATAAAACTGAGTGTACAGATGTAATTCAATGCGTCTTGCGCGGTTCGTGCAATTTTATTGACTTAATGCGCTGCGTTGATTATTTTATGACACTTTGTACATTTGTGACGATGCTCATGTTGTGCCATTCCACGGCAATTTCTCGGCTCTTTGCAGATTCTAAGGATTCAGGAACGGGCTCCAGTGAAGACGGCGACCGGCCGTCGAACCGCCTCGAGTTGCTGGACAGATCGGGCGCCGGCGACGGGCGCGACAGCGAGTGGTCCGAGTCGCGGCCGGGCAGCGGTCCCGGCTCGCCGGAGATCTTCGATCGCTCCAGCGTGAATCCCCACCTGCTGCACCCGGCCGCCATGCACTTCCGGCCGCCCACGAGCTCGCCGCCGGACGGCGGGCCGCCGCCCAGCGCCAGCACCAATCCCAGCGTGATCAGCAAGCCGCGGATCTGGTCGCTGGCCGACATGGCGAGCAAAGAGAGCAAAAACCACTCGCCCGAGCCTCCCCCGCCATCCGCCGCCAGTGCCGCCGCGGCGACGCTGTACGGCTGCGCCGCCGTGGGCAAGATAATGCCCCTGGCCGGCCGCATGCACATGCCGCACCCGTACGCGCGGCCCGAGATCTTCCGGCCGTTCTATGGGCCGGCGCATCTGGGCGGCGCGCCGCCGGACGTGGCGCTCATTGAGTCCTACCAGCGGACCTTCGGTGCTAGTCTCGCCCACAACGGCATCCCCATGAACCCCGCCCTCAGCTCCATGATCTCCAAGGCGGTCAGCGGCGGCCAGCCGCCCTTCGCGCCGCTCAGCCTCACCACCTCGTCGGCCAACACGGCGCCGCCGCCCGGCGTCTCGCCGTCCGCCTCCAGCACGTCCTCCGGCGACGCCACGACGGCCAAGCTGTCGCCCGGCGCCGCCAAGCCATGACCATTGGCCGGCGCCGCGGACTTCCTCAGCGACCAGCAAGTGCTCATCAGACCGTGAGTCCCAAACCACCCACTCGGAGACACCCCGACGCACCCACACAGAATTTTCGGACAATAAAGAATATGTGATTGAACAGAGCGGCCCGCGGGCCGCAAGACTAACCCATCAAGACGCGCAGAGGTATTTTTCAGCGGGCGTGCAGAAAACGCGACAAAGGAGTAAAAAAGTAAATCTTAGGAAATTGAGAAAATAAAAATCAGGGTATGAAATCCGGTGCATTCTTCATTTTAATATGCAAAAAGGCAGAAAAAAAAGAAACAACTGTGTGTTATACAACAAAAGCTTTCAAGAGAACGGTGAACTTGGGAGGATTGATCAAGTGTTTTCGCGTGTCTTGAACTCTCTTGGACAATTAATGCAGATTTCACTCTAAATTAAATAATATGGCAAACTAATTAAGAAGAATTATAAAAAAAGGGGGAAAATGAATAACCAAATCGGTGTTGCTGAAGTGATGAAACCAAATACCATTTTCTCTTCTTGCAAGACGGAGAGAGAGAGAGAGAGGGAGAGAACAAAACCTAAGGACGAAGCGAGTGTCTCAGTGACTGAGTGAAAGGCAGGGAACAGTGAGGACTGAGAATTGAGGGGTTGTAGGCTAAGTTGAGAGAAATTCCATGTAAGAATTTATCAAGTGACGAGTGTGAGTATTTATAGAGCAAAAAACTATACATAGTAAATGTATAAATTAATTACAATTTATAGGATGGAAAGAAGAAAAGAAGAAATGAAGTGAGCAAAAATAGTGTTAAATGTGATAATGGACTCATTGATTTTCACTCTGTAAGTAAAAACCCATTTAATAGTGAATTCGTCTTCGAACAAACCTGACTAATACTATATTTTATTTCGCTGTAAAAGTGTGTTTGAGAAAAGGAATCACTTTAACTATTTAGTCTCTCGAGATACAGAAAAGTACCGGAAAAGATTCACTAAAACTCTCGACAAAAAAAAAGAAAGGAAAAATCAACGAATTCTTATGTTATTTCAGCTTCAAATGATGTGAGTTTTTTTGGTATTGGAAAATGCTGGATTTTCGTGTTGGAGGTAAATTCAACTGGCGCTGAATTAACCAGCCGTAAATGCACACCCTTCCTCCACATATATATATATTTATCAATATCCTTTTATTCGGATGGATATAAAATGAATTTATTGTATCGTGCAAGCGACGAAGAAGACACCAAGAAATTCGTTGAAATTGTGACCAAATAAAAACCGATAATAAAATTTATACTATGGAATGCCGATGGAATACACAGGGTGAATCAGTCGGATAAATTCATTTGATGTGACATGAAAATCAACCGCAATATATAAAGAAAAACCTAAAACGGAGCACAAAAATGTATTCGAAAAGAAGAAAGAAAAAAAAGACATCATCATTTCATATTGTCATCGTGAAAATGTATACAGAGTTTCGGGTGTGGGTGGAAAAGAAGAAGGAGAAGAAAAAAAAGAGAAAATTGCTACTTTGTAAATTTAATGCAAAATATTCCAATAAATTTATGTAATTTGTTGTGTGAAAATGTTCAGTGAATGCCATTTTCCTGCCCACTTCCAAGGTCGCTGTCTTGCATCGTGAACACATTTAGCTGAGGGAAATTGGGACAGAACTTTCAAAGATTTTTTCTTTTTTTTTAAACTAATTGGTTTCGGAGTATTTATTTTGTCAAATACACAAAAACCATTTTCCATATGCGGCAGAACAATATATACATTTCTCTGTGCAGAGAACAGAGAGATGAAATACTCTATCTCGCGGTGGAAAAAGACATTATAAATTCACGAGAAGAATGTAGCGAAAACAGGTATAAAAAGAATGGAAATTGTGAATGGAGAGTGAGAGATGGTGGCAAAAAATGCAAAGAATAAATAACAGCAAAGGAGTTTGTACATAGTATCAATAAAATTAATTAAGAGAGACGTTAATTATAATGAGAAGAAGAAAAAAAATAATAAGAATATGGAATACAGTAACAGTTAATGAAAATGTACTAATGAAAATATTGTGTATAGATATTTACATAATTCTGTATAATTAAATATCATTTAGAAGGAGCGTAATGTTAAAGTCTAGTTGCAATAAAAAAAAAATATTAAAATATATGAAATGAGTAGATACAACAGCAAAAAAATCGAGAGATAAAAATTACTATGAATTCTGGGATATCATTTACAATTTCTTAAATACATTTCCATGTCTTCGACTAACAGCGTCTTCAGTCTCTCTCCTTCTCCGGCATCTCCACTCTCGCATCGTCTTCGCCCAGCATCTCAGGTTACTCAGGTGAGACGCGATGAACACAAAAGACCCGAGAATATGGTCAGCAAGGAGTTGCTGGACAAATTATTGTCTCATTTTCATTGAGAAGAGCGTGAGCCAATGGAATTGAACACACTTTTCGGCTTCCGACAAACGTTAATTGCAAGCTGTAAAAGAACTCCAACTCACTCCATTTTCACTCCTGAGCGCCCTTTCACGGGGCCTCAGTTTTTTCTTAAGAACACTTGGAGAACTATGAGGCGAATTTCATAGATAATGGGCAGAAAAGTTCTTAATTTTACAGCAGCTCCATAAAAGTCGTAAAAATTCCATTTGGAGTCACCTAAAAACTCCAAGCAGAAACCAATAATCAGGCTTTTTTTATACCTCTGTTCCTATTTCATCCCATTCTTGTTTACCTGAAGCGATGACGATGGCTCAGGAGGCAATATTGTTGCTGAATTTGAGATTAAAATCACGCTCTTTAATTCACATTCACACAATTGCTTCCATTAACGAAAGAAGAGACAGAAAAGTCGCTCAGAATCAATAGAAAAATCACTGAAAGCTGCTGATAAACCCCTTGGATTCTTTGATCAAGAAACATTTCAATGCGACAAGGTTTCTTTTTTCTCGTTCTCCTAAACACACAAACTTTAATTCCTTTATTATTCCTCTTTATTGCAGGTGATTGTTGAGGAAATTGACTGAAATGAGTGGAAATAAAACAGTGTTAATTGTACAAGCTGGCTTCACGGTGAAGCGCAAAGGAGGCGTCCTTCGTCTTTTGATCCTTTTCACGAGGCCAAGGACGCTCTTCTTCTTCTCATTCCGAACGACCCATTAGTGGAATGATTAAATCAATCAAATTTACAACTCTCGGCGCTCATCTTGTCGGTTTTCTGAGGAAAGTGAGATGATCCAAAAGGTATTTCCGCTGATTCTCAAGTTCACAGGCGCTGAAGTGTTGTTGTTCACATGGAAAGCGATCCTCAGCAGAAGTTCTCTTGGTCACCAGATGGTCAGAGATGACATCGAGTGCAAGCAGGAAGAATTGAATTGCATCCAAAATGCACTTCTTAACTGTTTACGTTTCCCCTTCTCTCGTTCGCGCTCTGGTGCTTAGCATAATAATCAAATATTATGTCGTGGAATTTGAGAATGCATTTATCAAGTGACTCGGTGAATCTTGGAGATATAAACATTTCATGTGATGACATTCTGAGAGAGAGAGAATTTCATTGTAGGAGAAAAAAGCGGGCTCGCGAGAGAGCCTCAAAAGAAGTCGCGGAGGATGCTGAGATCGGTATTCATCATAATCGTTGTCTTCAACAAACATATTACAAGAAAATACTACAACCAAATCTGAATAATATGAACATCTCCCCTGGTGATTTATAGAGATCACAGATTTTTTTCCCTCCAGCCTCCTTCGCGGTCATTTCGAGTCATTTCGAGTCATTTCGAGTGGAATATTTTACCATTTAGTTAAATGAATGAATAAGGGCAGTGCGTGTCAGCAGCGATTCATCAAATGCCAGCTTCCAGGCCGGCAAGAAAGGAAGAGGCACCAAAGAGGAGGATGACGGCACAGCCCCAACACGGTGCACTTCTTGGTGACTTAATGAAGATGTAAAATTATGAATGCATTATCAATCTGTCGGTTATTGAAAGGCCAACATAAATTTTTATGTGCGCGCTCTCCTGGCGGAACTTTGGCCGATTTGAGGGCGAAAGTATGGGTAGAAAACATGACGGAAAAATATGTTTCGCATGCAGCATTTCTCCTCTCGAGAGAGGCTCATTGGAAATTCATATGCGTGCCCCGAAGAGGGCAGTCAATAGACATAAATTTGGAAAATTATTGGTGAATAATGATGATGAACATGGGGAGACTTGTCAACAACACTGGGAATTCATCATCATCGAAAACATGAGGAGACGGTTTCACATAATCCGCTTTGGGGGCTCTTTTTCCGGACGCTGTTTCATCGCATTGTCATTGATTCTCACTAATCTCTCGAAAATTTGAGATTGTATTTCAAAAGGCAACAACACATGTGAGATCAGAGCTTGATAAAGTATAGTCACGACAGTTCAAATTAGTAGCGTCTTAACGAAGCTCTTGTTTGAATTTGAATAATTCCTAAATTTTCTTTATATTTCCCAATTTCTAATTCAATTTTTAAGACTTGCACAAGTTCCAGCGCAAGTGTTTCATATGACAATTTAGCACAAGTATAGCGCCAGCTCTAAGACTGTGATGTCTTAGAGTTTAAACGCTTCTTAATAAATAATTATCCATCACAAACCCCGCAAAATATTATTAATCGGAATACTTTTCGTTCTCAACACTCAAAAGACGGTTAATAAAAATATTCGATGTATTCTACCTTAAAGGGAAATGAAAATGCTTTAATTTTGGTATCACAAATGATTCGTTCATTCTTCACTTGAGCAATCCTCGGAAATTTGTCAAAAACTCTGTGTCCTTTTCTATACACTTGCGCCCAGACAAGAATCCTTTCTTGTAGTGAATCCGAGATGGTGTCATTAGGCAAAGTTGATCTCTTGATTTTTGATTTCTGGATTGATTCGTGGAATTCTGTGATTGACACAATTGGTGTGTGATTAGCAATTTAGAGAGAGAGAGAGGATGGAATGAATTGCCATTGATCCGCGGCCAAGTAGACTCTTACAAGAGCTTTAATTAGATGTAAATATCCAATCACAATGAGTGTACAAAAATCCCATCGTTTTTCCAACATGACGATCCACAAATACGGGAATTTTGTGAAGCAGCAGCTCCTCGACATTCAACAGAGGATCATTTCTTCTTGGACAGAGATAAATCTTCAAAAGACGCGGACGAGGAAAAAGAGTCGCAGTGTGTGTTGGAACAAAAAAAGGCGAGCGAGATGAATAAAAAGGCGCGCATTACAAATATATAGATTTTTTATTTATTTGTATTGTTGTCATGGAGTCTCTTCAACTATTTACCTCTTCCTCTCCTTTTCATCTTCTTATTATTGCTATATTGTAATGTATCATGTTGTTATGCTGGGGTCGGGTGGCCGGGAGAGAATTGAAGATTTGTACGTGGGCGCAAGAGCAATAATCACAAGAAGACGTAGATTATAAGTTGTGGCTGATGAATAACACTGTGGCTTCTTTTTCTCTCTCTCGCGCTCCTCGCGGGCCAAGACTTAATTCTTCAGCTCTTCAGTCCGGACAAATGTGCGCAAAGAGCAAGGAATTATCGTATGAAAGAGACGGTTGAGGCTGAAATGAATGATTTATTAAGTAGCAGCATTCCATTTATTAGAAATTTGTTTTGAGGCTTGAGCAACAGCTTAACAGATTTTCATCTCAATAGAAGGCTAGGAGATATTCAATGGAGGAAACACATTTTTTCCAACTTCTCTCATTTGATTTCACGTCTATTTTACAATATTCACCGTCACACGCTACAGAATTCCTTCCAGCTAACAGAAAAACAGAGAATGGGAGATGAATATGCTGGGCTTTTTAGCAATGAAGTCGAAATAATTCGAAGAATTTATTCACCAGAGGATTTCCCTTAAGCCACTCTTTGTGCAACTGACGCTTTCTTGCGTCCCGTGAAAGGATTGACGACAGACGACAGTCTCACGGAGAAATTCCACCATCAGCCCAATAATTCATCAGCCAATGAGTTGTTTGAGATTTTCGGTGTTTATGTCACATCTCTCACTTAATTATGTACTTCTAATGTACCGTAAAAAGCAAAATTGTGTCTTCGCGCCTGTTAGTTTCGAAGGCAAGTCAACAGATTCGTCTCCCATGGCGAAGACACGGAGTCTCCACTCACGATGGCATCTTAAGTGAAAATAAATAGTAAGATATCAATATTTTTCCCCCTTTTTCCCACAATCCCGAAAAACACCAGAAGGCAAAATTCCAACTTGCACTCGTCATTTGAGGTGTCTCAGCCCGGTAATCACGCGGAAAGTGTCACGTTTAATTTTAAAACAGCGCCCAGGATCGCCACGCGAGATCCCTGGGCTGAGGCGTGTTTAACACCCAGTGACTGACACGAGGAACAACCTCCGTGAGATGATTGATTTCCTTATTAACATTCCCGTGCCCTCGTCAGACCCCAAATCATCTTCACTCCCTCGGCATTTTGTGCTTAAGTGAATGCGAAGGATGAAAAGGTTAAACTGCCACATGATGGCTGGAAAAGGAAAGAGACACAGAGTTTAAATACCCCTTTTAGGAAGGACATTTCACGTTGAAATCAATCATTGATTTGCGTGAAAAACCCTGAAGAGTTACTCAAAAGAGGCGGAAATCCTGACTTCAAGACATTTTCCGTGGCTTTGCTAAAAGGCGTTGCAAGATTACAATTCATATTATTTACTAATAAACGTTTCAAAAGTTGCCGCCTGACGTAAAATCATATTTTTAGTCGTGTAAAGACATGATAAGCCAGAAAATTCGCATAAAATCCAAGAAAATAGACAAAAATGATATTTTTATGTAAATTATTACATATTTATTGAATTTTCCTGACGGTATATGCGCATTTCAATGCACCAGATTGAGGTTATGTGTTTCCGGTCATCTTCCCGGACAATCTGGCCAGCAGAACCCTTCAAGAATCCCATCAAAAACACACCTAATATCAGGAATAATCACAGATAAAGATGTCTTGTCACTGGAATTCCATATTTTGCCCTGTTGAACACATTCTTGCGTTGAAAATATCTCTTAGCAATCGCTGAAAACTCCTGGAAGTTTCTTCAGATTAATTTCGTAGGAACACGGAAAAAATGCGCTTCACTTCCACTGAAGGAC